TACTGCTTGAGAGTGAAAGGCAATTGTGGGCTTTCTGCCTCAAGTACTGAGATGACTTGAGCACTGTGTTCAAGCAGCAATGTCTGAAGAAGGTTGTGATTCCTGCCCTCTTAAACTTGGGTGGAACTCACCATGTGGTCAGGAGCCTCAGTCAAAGGGTGTTCCTGATCACACAAAGAGTTCAAGTGAATGGAAGTTGCCTTCAGACCATGCCTTTCAATATGGCAAGGGCAAGACTTGCCTTACTATTCTGGCTTTGGCTGATCCGCACCTTTCCCCAACTGCGGAGAATGTGGAAAGGGCACTGGAAGGAATGGCAGAATGCCTAGAATCCTCCTCCCCCTAACCACATTCATAAGAAATTAGAGAAATACTGTGGAGGGAGCCATTTAATGAAACATTACCTTGAGTCATACCTGTTTTAATTAATCAATTAGTCTTACTGGGGGAAGGGGGACCCAGAAAATGCAAGGAAAATATGAAGTTTTTAAAGAGAACTTTAGAAAAATTGAGAAGGGAATATTTTTATTCTAATTTTTTCTACCTCCTTGCCCCATTTCCCTCCCACACCTTCACATTTCTTACCCATACCATTAATTCTTTCTCTAAAAGTAAACATCCTTCTTCACAAGTAGAAATATACACCATTTCAACCTTAAAACCAAAGAATAGAAAGATGAAAGCCCATCAATATAAATCTTTTCTGAAGCTCTCTGCTTGTAGATGACCCCACTGTTTTAATATTTTAGGAGGGCTCAATTTATGTCTGAGGAAATTTAACATCAGACTTTTCTTTTCTTCGGCTCTGACTAGGGCTAATTCAGGTCAAATCTGTGTTTGGGATACTGATGATGTTTTTGACAGTATGGGATCCAGAGAAGCTGTATGATCATTTTATGATCACTGTATGCACGGAAAGCTGATCTTGACAGGAAGCTGATCTAGACGGGCCTTGCTTTGACCCAGCACAACTTTTCTTATGTTGGATAATATAGTATGTAGTCTTTTTCTTGCTGAGGAAGATTTCAAAATAGAGATAAGAGGTGATATTCTGTCTACAGTTAAGCACTTTTTATATTGGATATTAGAGTTACACTAGTATCATTATTATAGTGCATTTTATATCTCATCCTTTTTTTCTTCTTGGGAGGAGCCCCAGGCAGCTCACATAGTCCTCCTCCACTACAAGTTATCCTCACAACAACCCTGCGAGGTAAGTTGGGCTGAAAGTGAGTGACTGGCCCGGATACCTGTTGAGCTTCATGGCCAAGTCAAAATTAGAACCTGGATTTCCCAGGTCCTTAGTCCAACCAAATCACACTGGCTTTCAACACACTGTATACTGCATATTACAATACTTGGCATATTAGATATGTAAATGTATATTTTTGAAGCACATGTATGCATTTTGTTGTATTTGGGTACTTTTAAAACACACTTAATGGATTGAATTTTTCTCTCCTTGTTTGAATTCAGGGGTGCTTTTTGTTTTATTATGTAGCTACATAGTTGCCCTTTGTACTTTTTGTTTGCTTTTTTTGTTTCTGCTATAATATTGACAGCCAAAGATAGACATCACATTCCAAAAGTTCATTCCTCTGTCAAACAACTAGTGCACTCAAGGCATTTCTCCTACCATTTAAGTGAAATCTGATTCTGAGTAATATCCATCCATTGGCTCTATTCCTGCCTTCTGAAGCAATGTGGAGATAGCCTCTTTTAACAAACTGCAAGTGATAAATTCAATCCAACATGAAGATAAACTACTAATCAGATTAGGTTCCGCGATGCGGTACCTCCTAACAACCTTTTTACATCATTGCCAAACAGTTGTATAATATGAACCTAAACCTAACTGGTTTTCCACAGTTTTTCCTGATGTTCAGTATACCTGTTCTACTGCAATTTGAGTAGTATTCCACGAAGCCACCATGAAAGCATGCAGTGGGTGGGGGGGGGGGGGGGGCAGATTACTGCTTCTTAAAGCAACCATAAACAATTCTGGCCTTATGAAAAGGCCCCTCTCGACCCCTCAAAGTTCTGTCTGGAGGCTTCCCATATTTACATACCCCAAAAATGTGCATAATCATAGAAGAGTTGGAAGGGGCCATGAAGGCCATCGAGTCCAATCACCTGCTGTTGCAGGACACCATGTTACACCATCCCACTCAGATGGCATGTTAATGGCATTCCTGCAATCCGTATCACATTGGTTTAGCCCTGGCTGAAGCATGCCAGGAAGGAACAGGTTCAACCCTCCAGTCCACACTGAATTTCATTTTTGCTGTGCTGGAATGCCAGTCCATATTGCAAAGGAACCATTATGTGTAATGTTTTGACCAACATATGTAATGCAGGCTGAATTTGCAGGCTTTCCTAGCAGTAAGCAGGTGTTAGGGTGAGGGTCCTATTTCCACCTTTCTCAGTGATCTGATATTTGGGTGTATACCTTGAGTACCCTAGGTTGAGGGAGAGTTACGGAATTACTCCTTTAGACTCCAGCAGTGTGAATGTACCAAATTTCCTAACTAGCTTGCAATTGCATAACTGTTTTAGGTTCACTTTGAATCCTGCCCTTGAGAAAATTGTAAAATTGTGCAATTTTCCCATTTTTCTCATTACTGGATGCTTTGAAATGTGCTATATGAAAAAGTGAACCTTTGTGCACTCCTGACCAGCTCATGATGGGCAGCTGAGCTCCACTGGCTGTATGAAGTGTCTAATTTTTAATGAAATTGTTTTTAGCTGGTTGAAGAATGGTGAGAGTTGTGCACCTATTTTTCTGCTTAAACATGCATAGGAGCACAATGATTGATGGAATACATCCTCCAGCTGCAATCAATCCAGGCACTGCACCCAACATCTGAGGCCTTCCTCCCAAAGCCACCTCCAAAGAAGGCTTGGTTGGTGTCAACAAGGAGGAGGGTCTTCTCTGTGGCAGCCATGAAATTATGAAATGATTTCCCCACCAAGGCCTACTTGGTGCATCTTTTCAGCACCAGGATAAGACCAATCTTTTTGCAGAGGCATTTACCAACTCCAAATAGCACATGAGGGTGTGAAGTATTGTCAGTTGTTTTTAGCAGACCTAGTAATATTTACTTATTTCATCTTTACTGCTGAATAGCCAAAACTCTCTGAGCAAAATTAAAAGGAGTTTGTCTTAGTTGTTTGAGCTGTAAAAATGTGGTTTTACTTTTTTAGTGTAATGTAATGATATTGTCGATGTTATATTGTTATATTGCTTTTTTGTATTTTGTTAACTGTTGTGCACTGCCCAGAAATCTTCAGCTATGGAGTATAAAAATACAATACATAATCATATTTGGAATAAGCTCTAAATTATTTTAAATTTAGTATATTGAAATGTGATGTTGCATGTCTTTGTGAGGGATTTGTGATGTATTTTTGATGTGTTTGTGGTGATGCAATTTTGTATTTGTGCTGTGATGTATTTGTGGTTTGTGATTTTATGAATTGTTCTGAACTGGCCAGAGTGCTTCAGCTATAGGATGGTACTCGTATATAAAATATATAAATATTCAAAATAATTGCCATTTGGATCTGTCAATTAGAGTCACCATTTACCCACCCCAAGAAAGCTTCCTGGTATTAGGGAAGGTAACTGGAACGGAGAGGTCAAGTGGTATGTAGAAATCTGACTATTTATAAGATTTGTGATCTGTGTATGAAAAAACCAGAATGTGAGCTTATTGTCAGAATTTTTCAGTAAAGGCAGCACTAGATGGGTAAATGTCACAGTACACACATGGAATGCACCAAGGGAACCTAGTCATTCAAGATAGACACAACTCACTATTTCAGATCCTAATGCATAGGAGAGGGTACTGTTGAGTTCTCAGACAAGCGATCTGGCTGGTGGCACAACCAACTGGAAACATACCAGCCACATCTGCTGGGATTGAACTCCCACCCACTCCCTGCACACAGCTCCGGCATCCTGCCAAACACTAGAATTCATACCCTGCCAGAATCAACCATCCATTCAAAGGAGACCTAGAAGCAGACAGAAAAGTTTCAGAGTTTTCTCTCTGGTGTCTTTTGTTGGCTGTTCCACACCTTGCACCTGAACCTGGCCAACAAGGACTGATGTGTAACATGTAAGAAATCCTGTAGTGCAGCTGTTTTAGACACTGGACAATGGGTATACTGGGAATGTGGGCCCATGGGGTGGGCTTCAGCAGCCATCTCCATTACTTTAGTTTGGAAGAGCACACCCAATATTCTCTCCTCTTTTCCCCATCCCCACCTCAATTCTATGTGCATCCTGTTCTACCTTCCTGACAGATGTGGTAGTAGGACGCAGCCCATTAGGGCTGTACCCCAAATCTCTGGGATCCCACATAACTCACCACACTGCAGTCCAGGAACACTTGCTGACACATATTGCAATCTCTGCTGCTTCTAATCCCCCTGGATTAACTGGCTTTTTGCATACAAACCAACAAGCCGGGAAAGGCCGCCTAATTATTTTACACAATTGCATGTTTGTCAACCCTGATCGTAAAATGTTGGGCAAAGTGTTGCGCAAGGTGGCAAAGTAACATTAATATTACTCTGTTTCTCGTTAGGAAAGGGCGCTGAATCCTTGGACTTTGAACAAACAAACAAAAACACTGTTCAAGTGGCTGACAAAAGTTACATGCTCTTTTGATTTAAAAAATCGAAATGATGATGAAAGCTGCTATATGTGAACCCAGCACATGGGGGACACCCCGCAATTCTTCTGTAACTTCAACCACTACAAAGTGGAAACCTCTTTGCACTTTCTAGGTGCAAGCCTCCTGCTTAGAAAAAACCCTACTCGGTTCCATCGGACCAACTTCCGCCTCGACCCGCACAGGCGACCCGGCGGACTGCACGTTTCGCAGCGCGAGAACAATTCCCTCTGCGAACTGCCATGGAGGGGAGCTGTGCGCCTTCGCCGACTACAAGTCCCGGCATGCCGAGCGAAGAGTCCTGCCGCTCCTGGTTCGCTATTTATCGCCGGCCTCCCCGGCAGGCGGTTTGCTCCGTTTTTTTCTGCTAGGACGCGCCGGCGACTTAACCATCGGAGAGTGTTCGGCAGCCCGTGGGACCGGCCGGAAAGGGCTCATGGCAGTCTGTGTAGCATGGCGAGGCCGCTGGGGTTCGCTCCTGCGACGAGCCTTCCCAGCTCCGCCGCGGAGAGCCTGCTGCTCCGGGGTGCCGGCGAGGCAGCGGCAGCAACAGCAGCTGGCGTTGGAAGTTCCCTCCGCTCAGGTGAGGCGGGGGGCCGGGGCGAGAGAAAAGGGCATTTAGGGCACGGCTTGACTTAGGGCGCTCTCGGGTTGCCGAAGGGACCGAGGAGCGGCGAGGCCGCGTTCCGGAGCGAGTCGCCGCGTCAGTCAGGGCCGCCAAGCGCCGAGCGGCTTCTCCCCCGGCCAGCGCGCGTGGGATTTCCAGAGAAGCCCCCGAAGCTGCCCCGCACAGAGCCAGAGAGCTTTGGTCCATCGCGCCCGAGAGGGTCTACGTACGCCGACTGGTCGCAGTAGCTCTCCAGGGTTTCGGGACGGACATTTTGCCCAGCTCCAACTTGCCGAGGATTGAACCTCGGACTTCTGCAGGCAAAATAGGTGCCCATCCACTGAACTGTGCCCCATCCGGGACTAGCCCTGTTAATCCGTGGCAGCAGGGCAGCAACAAAGCATGCCTTGTGGCATTTAAAGCTAACGCCTGTGTCCTGTCATAAGCTTTGATGGACTCTGCCTGCTTCCTAGGGACCATCTAGCCCCGCATGCTGGTCACAGTGTCCAACCAGCTGCCAGCTGGATCCCACAAGCAGAGCAGGAGTGCCAGAGCCTTCTCTTGCCCAAGTTCCCCAGCAACTGGTATATGTGGGTCTCTGATACTGGCAGTAGCATATAGGACTTCCGCAGGAATTTGCCCAGTCCAAAGTGGTAGCCACCGCTATAGCTTGTAGAAATGAATCCAGGAGTTTGCTTATGCACCCAGTGAATATAGGAAGAGCCATGATGGATCAGACAAGAGTCCAGCATGCTGTTCACACAGTAGGCAACCAAATGCTTAAAAGAAACCCACAAGAAGGAGATGAGTGGAAAGGTGCTGTAGGAATTTTTCCTCCACAACTGGTGTACATAAGGCATGATGCTTCTAGTCCTGAAGATAGCCTGTAGCCATCAGGACTGGTAGCTGTTGCTAGACTCATCTTCCAGGTAATTAGCCAGTCCCCTTTTAAAACTGTCTGAATTGGAGACTATCCCTACATTTTGTGCTTGCGAATTACACAGTTTAATTTTTATTTATCTGTCCTGAATCACCCATCAATCAGCTTCATGATTCTGCTATGAGTAAAAAATAGCTTGGCCTCAAGAGTAGAATCACCACCCACGGAACTCAGTTGGACTTACTTCAGAATAAATATTTATGAATGGCATCCAGTTACAGGTTGTAGTGTTTATGTGAGGGGTCCCTGGAACATAATGCGTAACTCCTGGCATAGAGAACTTCTGTCATATTGTCATAGCTTCTGACCTAGAGATGTTACTTGGGATTGCTACTGGTAATCTAGACTGAATGTTCAGATTAGAGGAAAGAATGAGAGGATTATTAAAGGCAAGTGGTTACAAGTTATGTCATCTTTTACCTAGTGAACACTTAATCAAGAAGTTCTGCATGAAATGCTAGCATAAAAATTTCCATTGGCTTAGAACTGCCAGTCAGATCAGAAAAGAACAAGAAACAAAACCGGCAGGCCTGTTGAACAGCCTCACACAAGACTTCCAGCACTGCTTCAATCAATGGACAATATGTATGGAGTGGTGTAGAGATCAGGAGGGGGGTATATAGAAGGTGACAATGTTCAGAATGCTGTAATTCATCAATAAATATTTTTTATTATCAATCTGGTTATTTTTGTGTCACACCTCGAATGTCACCCTTTGATGCAAAGAGTTGCACACACACTAAGGCTAAGGTAAATACATTTTCTGTGATAACATTGTCAAAATTTCATTACTTGATTTTTAGAAATTTTGCAGAGGAAAATTCTGGACAAGATGTGTTCCATCCCTTTTAAATGATGCTCAGTTTGGGCAGTTTAAATTGTACCATGAATAAAATCAGGTTAGTTAGTTTGGAATTTTCCAAACTCACTAATTGGTGAGTTGTTTGTCCTTGTAAATGTCTAGATGTATGTAATGCTCGTAATAAATTGTATTAAGTATCATATGGTTGGATAACATTGATAGAATTTTTTTGTTTTGCTTTTCCACTTGTATTTCAACTGCATTTAAGATGATACCTTCTGCCATTTGAAGTAAAGTATTTTGATAAGGCCACTGTTGCACAACTACTAATCCTCCCAAACAGTGCCACTGTGAGCAAGATAGCAAGCGTGAAGCATATGCAATATCCCTTTGCAACAAGTTGGAAGGCACTATCTTATTTCCCACTGAAAGCTGAGTCACTCTAGGTTGTTCTAGGAATCTGGTGTTCTCTGGCTGCTGGTTAGGCACCGAGCAATGAATTCAGCTCACACATACAGATGGAATGGGAATTGTGCTGATAGTTCCAACCAAGCTTTACATGTGTATGAGAACAGAGCATGTGGTTTAATGTTCTTTAGCTCTCTACATGCAAACCCCACTTGTGTTACTTTCTAGCATGAACAACAAACCTGTAGCCTAAAAGCGGCACACAGATTTCCTTCTCATTGCATGTGGAATTTGGTCTTGTTCACCTGCCATGCTGATTTTGGCTTTGGTGGAATGCGGTCTTTTATAGGTTTTGATGAGGTGATGTAGACCTTGACAGAAAGAATTAACTATACCTGGAACTTTAACATTCCAAACTAACATTGTAGTTTGAAGGGCTATGCAGATAGGATGAGACTTCATTTGAAATGACTGGTGTGAACTTTTGCAGAACAAGGAGCAAAAATCTAGAAGGACAGGACAGAGCAAAACCCACTGTCCACCTACTTGAAGATGGCACCACCAGGAGAAGAAGCAGGATTTTCAGCCAATCAGCAGTTCCCTCATTATGCATATGCAGTCATCTCCTTTAAGTCATTTTGGAAAGTCAAGTACAGTGACAGATTGGAAAGAATTTTGAAAAATGGAGATGGAATGGGAATTGGCCTACCTCGGCTCCTTACAATTTTCTGTTGACTGCTTTATTATTTATTTGTACTATTTATATACAGCTAAATATAATATCTTCCCACCTTTTAATTATAAATACTAAAATTGTATTTAAATATAATTTTAAAACAATAACCAGCAAGACCTCCTATAACAATCTTAATATTTATGTATTTATATCCCACCTTTTTTCCTTCAGGGAAATTAAGGTAGCTCACATAATTCTCCCCTTCCTCTCAATCTTATCTTCACAACAACCCTGAAAGGTAGGTTGGGCTGAGAATCTGTAACTGGCCCAAAGTCACCCAGTTGGCTCCATGGCTGACTGGGAACTAGAACCCAGATTGCCTGAGTCCCAGTCCTGCACTCTTAACCACCACACCACACTGGCTTTCAGCAGGCTGACACCCTATGCTACTGAAAAAACAAAGATGTGAAACAGTCTATTGATGGTGCTTGAGGTATATATACTGCGCCAATATGATAACTTATGAGTTAGTCAAATATGTGCAAGTATTTATTAGCTATTGTATCACATCAATGCTGCTTCTTGTATTATTCATAAAATGCTCAAATGAAGGGCTAGACTTTATGGAGAATGTGCAGACCTTCAGATATTGTTGGACTCCAAACTCCATCAGCCCCAGCCAGCATGGTCAGTGGTCAGAGATGGTGGGGTGTTGCAAGTGAACGTCATCTTATTTATTTATTTATTTGACTGTTATTCTGCCCTGTTAGCCATAAGGCTCTTGAGATCCACAGGGTTGTATCAAATGATTGTCTTGCCTAGAGTAAACCAAAGTACCACTTTCTGGTATCGCAATGGGAGGAGAAGAATAGAGGTAATAAGGTTGTACCACTTGCAAAAAAGTGCTGCCAGAAGGAAAATGTTAATTGTTTGCTGAGGTGCTTCTTTGTACCATGCAATCCAGTGCAGCCCTACCTAATGTTGGGTTCCTGAACTGTCTCTGTAGCAGTCCTTCCTGTGCTTTGTGCTGATCAAAATATTGCACCTGGAATAGAATAGGGATGCCAGTAATGTGGTGTAAAGTGATAGAAAGTGAGAAGTTAATATTTAAATAAGCTGAATAAAAAGTGATATACATTTGGACTTCATGACATTTAAATAAACTAATCAGATGCTCTGAAACTTTCTACTTTCATCCAGAAAGCACAGGGGTAGTATGAGGAATCTAGTTAATAAATCAACAGTAGGCCACATTAATAGTTCATTCTGTTTTTTGATATTCGCTGTATTGTGCAATCTGTAACATAATTGTGTTCTGCACAGCAACTAATTATATGCCATCACAACAGTGGTTGCGGTTAGAACTGACATACAGGCAAGAACTTGCCATTTGGAGAAAATGACTTGAGATTTATCATTTTGAAAAAAAAAAAGCTTGAAGGGTAAGAACCTAATCCCTGTCATTGTTGTGGTCCGAAACATCCATTTCTCCTGAGTTTTCCCCAACAAATACACTTCAGGATTGATTATTTATTTATTTTGACAAAGCATGGTAATAATTGAGGGTTTGATTCAAGGTGATATGACATGCTAGACCTGAATGTTGTATTAATGGGAGCCATTATATTATTGCAAATTGGGCTTGTAAACTATCTATCCCCAGATTTCTGCTGCTGAACAGACTTTGCTTGGTAACTTGAAAGCAGCTACTTTATCTCTTGACTTCAGAGACAGGCAGAAAAATATGGCTAGTCAGTATTAGGCCATTTGTGTTGCCAACAGGAGTGCAATTATATTCAGAGGAACTTTTGAAAGTGACTTTGTCAGCAAAACCTAGTACTTCACAGTTCAAGCATATAGTACCTGCACAGATTGAAAATTTACAGAGGCAATCTCAAATACAGATAGGCAGTTTTTGTTTGAAGAGGATAATGTGTTATAGTTCTTAAAGGAGGTAGGTTTGAGCATACCTTTTTCCTAGGGTGCAATTCATCAACTGCGTATTGATGTTGTCAAACTAAAGCAGAGAGAATGCAAAATAAACAAGATGACATTGAATATAGGAATGCAAGTACAACTTAATAATTATAATGAGATTTACTGCTAGAGTAGTTGACACTGGGAATGCTGTCTTCTGTAGTCCAGCAGAATTCCACAACATTTTTTGTCCAGCAAGCAGCAGCAGATTTTTTTTCTAGTCTAAAAGAAATTTGCACATTTAACAAGTCTCGAGATTCATGCAAATTGTACCGTATTTTTCCATCAATAAGATGCCCCCACGTATAGGACGCCCCCCAGTTTCCTGACCCATCTCCAGCGAGCAAGTTGCTGGCAAGCGCGCCCGCCACCTTGCCGCCCCCCCACTCGCGGCCCCCGCCCACACACACCGCTTCGCCGCCCCCCCACATGCTGCCGCCTGTGCATGCGTGCAACCCCCCCGCACGCATGCTGCCTCACTGTCCCCCCGCATGCACTAGTCTCCCCAGCACACCCGCGGCCCCCATGTAAAAAACGCACCTCCATTTTTAAGTCAATGTTTTTAAGAAAAAGTAGTGTCTTATACATGGAAAAATATGGTAATTTGTGCAAATTGATTTAAAAAAACACACAAATGAACAAATGAATACCTGTAAGTTTATGGGGGTCCACTGCCTTGCCACTGTCCTCAGAAGTACCTTTTGTCAAAGTACAGAAGACAATATCCAAGAACATTGAGAAAACAAGGCTACAAATATGTTGAATTTTTGCTTTGCCTTCCCTTCACAGCTGTCAAAAGGTGAGGTTTCAAGGGAAAACAAAGCCATGAATTGATGTTTCCTCACAAAAAGGGGTGGCCAGTAGAACATGTCTTTTGCATGGACCTGACAGTTCTCAGTGCCCTACATCTTTTCCACTCTTTTCTGGGCTTTTAGATGTTCAACAAAGTAGAAAAGTGAGATTCACCCATTAATGGGATTGTCTGTTTTGATAAGAGCTGTCAAAACTCAGGCCTCCTTTAAAAATGATGTTTTTAGCAAAGCTTAGCAAGAGTCTATGGAATGTCAGCCCAGGGAAAAAATGTGGATGATGCCTCCCTCACACGTTTCAGATGTTTTAGGGAAGCATGAATTAGTAATAATCAGGGACTTCAGTTCCACTGGCATTCTTCAAGCTGGTGCCCTCTGGGCTACAATTCCCAGCACTCTTGACATTGGCCATACTGGCAGGGGCTTAAGAAAGTGGAAGGCAGCAGGTGGGGAAAGATAAACAACTCTGATATATGCTGGGAAACGATGCAAAGCAAGGAACCGCCAACAAATTCTTGACTTGTCTTGCTAGCGGCTTCCTCTTATAGAACGTCAAGGTAAGAATGTTGGATCTGCTGTCCTGGACCCGATCCTCACTCATGGGAAGGGTTGTTAATGAATGTAAAACATCAGAACTTGAGGGTTTTATACTCAATTTTGATGTACATGTCTGTATTTAGGCAAAAAGCATAATCAGATGCAGAGATCTGCAATGTGGTGTATCAAGAGGCAGTGTTGTTTCCAGTGGTGAAAAAAAATAAAGATGATTGAGCAATAGTCCTGCAGGAGATTATGTAAGGATTAACTAAGAAATTTTGTAAATTGCTTTTATAAGCATGTTACGGCAAATTTAGCTTCTGCCAGCAAATCAAAATGTCCCAGAATGGTTAGTTAACATCTCACTGTTCCCTCCTGCTCTTTTCACTCTGAAAGCTGAAGCCTTTCCTTCTTGAATACAAATGTCCATTGAATAAGGGTTGCTATCCTTTCCGTGGATAGCAAAGAGGATTATATTTTTGCCCTTTCTTTGGCTTTATCTAGATAATCTAAAATACGTGAAGTATTTCTAAATCTAATGTTGTGATTTTGTATAAACATTGGAGTGGCTGGTATTAGGGATATGCAACAAGCTGTTGTAAGGAGGAGTGCTTCCACTTAGTATTTCAGTCAGTTAGCGATGCCCTCCTCCAGGATGCTCCTGCCCCTGACCCAGATTTCAGTGTATCTGCACTGGCCCCCAAAGGTCAGTCACTCACATTTTGTGGTTCCTGAGGACACTCAGCAGTCCTTATTGAAGTGTTTCGGTTTTTTTCCTCTAAATATTTTCTGTATATCTGCAAAACTTGGGATCCTGCTAAAACTATAGATGCTTTCCTCTTATTTGTGCATGGCTCGGTTTTGGTTATGTAAGTATCTACATTTTCCTCTGAACTTCAGAAGAGGGAATGATAGAGTTTGGACTGAGCATCCTTTCACAATTCATCTGTAATGTTGCATACCTGTTCAGAATAGTTCAGTACGCATTCATATAATATCCTACTTCTTAGATGATGACTCAGGTAGTAATTAGTTGACTTCTCTGCATCCTACTGCTTTATCCTGAGTGGTGTCAAATTATATATAAAGATAGAATCAGTACATTGGGAAATCTACATTTGTACCCCTTATGCATCCTTTCCTCTCATGGGAAAGGATGATTCTGCATTAGTGTGCCAAAGCCATGCTGAACCAAGTTTTTTTTCTCCCCTTAATTTCTTGCTTCTGTCATATCATGGTTTACTTGTTGCTGCATGCCTGACTTGAGAAATAAAATCGTCACTGTTACTATATCCACCATTGAATGATCAGGGCAGTAAAATGGAGCTGCATACAAACCAGGGATTTCTATACATCCAGGGAGCTCTCCGGATATGCGTGCTCTGCAAAAGGATAAATCATTCTTGGTGTGTTCCAGGCCATGGGAGATACTGAGTGGTCAAGGCAGGAGGAGCCATTCTAAGGGGAAGGATTGGTTTGATTGCGTTCCTAAGACAGCCTTCTCAGAATGCCCAGTAGTTATGGATGATGGAGTTGGTATCCTGCAGCTGTTTTGGACTAAAATTCCCTTTATCCATATCCCTTGGATGTACTGTCTTAGGCTGATGGGGGGAATAGTCCAAAAATCTGAAGGGATTAGGTGGGGCATGGCTGCCCTGGTAGGGAAGGATTTGGAGGTAGATGTTCCCATTGAAGTGTTCATCCCCAGCCCTGATTTCCACTCACTCTGTACTGGCTTGTTTCCTCAAAATACAGAGAAGTGTCTTTGGAAAGGAGATGTCATTCATTGGATCTGGCATGTCATTCATTGGATCTGTTTTACATCTTCATGAGTGTCTTTATTAACTCATAATTAGAACAAGTGACTGGGCCAAAAATACAGGAATGTGATGTAAAAACAAAGTGCAGGAAAGTGCAAAGGTCTTGCACTTTGTTCCTCCATAACTTCTCGGTACTTACGGTTCATTTGTTTTGTTCTGTTCATGCCTCCATTTCAGGGACCCCCTCCTTTTGTTCAGCATTTTATTGACCCAGAGTCAATAATGCAGAGTACATGTTGATCTCTCTTAGTTGATTCTAATTGTGACTAATCTCTTGGCAATTGGAGAGGGCAAATGCAGAATTTGTGCAAGGATAAAGAGCTGTGGAAAGAGCCAAATATTGGAGGTGTTCATGTGTTAACTATATTGATTGCATGATGGACCACCAGCTTTAAGGCATGATTATACACTTGGTTGAACGTAGGGCACAGTCTGTGGCTGGGTGGAGTATGCTGGGAGTTGTAGGATTTGTATAGAATTGCAGTGCAATCTGCTCACGTTTACTCATAAGTAAGTCTCATTGTGTTCAAAAGGGCTTGCAGTTTGGTAAGTATATGTAGACACTCTCTCCTTCCTTTATTTTGGAGCAGTTTATATGTCTTGAGTATGATTTGCTGTTTCATCTAAAAGCTTGCTCAAGGCATTCATACTTATCACTGAGCACTGCCATTGTGAGACTATATACCCTTCCCTGAGAGATCTAATATAAACAGTCCTCACTAACTAGTGATTTTGTTTGCCAGGCTGCTCAACCATCTATCAGTCATGTTTATTTTTAAATCTTCGATGTGTACTATCACATGTAACAGCCATGCTATTAAAATGCTGGTGTGAAAACAAATGTGTTTGGCAGTCTGGGCTGCAAAGTACCAGATTTTTGTTAGTACTTAGTTCTTTTCCCTGCAAACATTTAGCAAAATCCATCTCTTTCCCTCATCCCCAACAAATATGTAATCTTAAAGGTTAATGTGGGTTCATCTGTAACACAGGAGATTACAGTTCCAAGAAGAAGAGGATACCTAGCTGAACATGCTGCCCCTTTCTCTGCTTTTTTGACTGATAACTTTGGTCGCCAGCATAACTACTTGAGGATCTCCGTGACCGAGAAGTGCAACCTCAGGTGTAAGTCTCTTTGCTATTAATAGGAAAATATGTAAAGTCCAAAGCTATGTTCACATGATGTACTGTTACTGGGACACATCTTTAGCATACTGGAACCTTTATGAAGTGGTAGAGCAACATGAATGCCATGTTAAAAGCTGCTTTAGTTTGGTTGGTTCCATGTTGCAGCAGTTAACATACCAAGTGGAGTAGCTGCTTTAGAGGCCATGTTCTCATTCCAGTGCCATGCTTCCCTTGGGTTTGTTAGGTCACAAAGCACAAACCTGTATCATGCTATAAAGCAAAGAGCCTGCTTCCCATAATTTCATATGTTAACAAGCCAGTCATCTTGTATAGTGGTTACATGTGGACTTTTCCCCACTTGGTATTAGTCTGTTTACTGTTATAAATGAATTATTTTAAGTTTCTGAAGACAGCTAAGAAATACTTGAAGGGTGGGGGAAGAGGTTGTTTTAAAGCATGTTTACCCTCTTCTTAAGGCTGATAGTTTGAGTGTCGTATCCCTCAGCAAACCAAACAAAGACATAAAGAGACAAATTATCAAACCATGCTGTTAGGTTCAGACAACAGGACAAGCCACCATGGTTTATCATGTGTGTAAGGTCCAAAGACACCGCAGTAAAGGAATTAGGAGCCAAAAGGAGGGTGGAGGGGACCCAGACTGGCATGCCAGTTCTTGATACTATTAAGTTATTCCAGTTAGCATTTGGAATGGGAAACAGTTCAAAAAGATGAAGACCCAAAAGCTGGGTGGACTTACATCCTTTCCTTTTCTCCCTCACTCCAGTCTCCTGGAATGGTTGATCCCAGGTGCAGTTGATGTAGGGAGGAAGCTGGTTTGTCAGCAGAGCTGCTGAGGGCTCTGCTGCCTTCTTTTTCATCTCTGCTGTAGCCAACAGAAATGGCTGCTGCCCACTGAGACTATGGTAAAGCATGAATGGTGGAATGCAGGGGAGGTATTGAGCTGAGAGGGAAACCAAGGTTATGCCCCATTCTTGAGTTGCTTTCTGTGATGTATCTGTTGCCCCATAATGGGCAGAAAGTATGTCAGGTTCATGACATAAATGGAGACTACCAATCTATGGCTGGAGCACCAGAACCAGGGATGATGTAGTTGACGATCCTGGCACAATGAAGTACGGCCAGCAGCAAAGTCAGGAACAAGCAAGAACCAGATACCATCAAGGCATGGCCAGAAGCAAAAGCAGAGTCAGGAGCAAGTGAGAATCAGAAATTCAGCAAGGTATGACAGGTCCAAAGGCAAAGTCAGAACCAGGAATAAGCAAGGTCAGGCACCAACAAGCCATGGCAGAACAGAGGAGAAGGCAAAGTCAGTAGCAGACAAGGGTCAGATGCCCACCAAAGCACCTTGGGACCAAAGGCAGAACTAAGAACAGATAAGGGCAGGCACCAACAAGTCATAGCAGGTTCAGCAGGGAAGGCAGATTCAGGAACAAGCAAATGTCAGATACCAATAAGACAAGGCGTAACCAGAGGCTAAGGCAAGGATCCGGTTCCTAGAAAGGCAGAGTCAGACTTGAGGTAAGAGCAGAAACAAGAGCAGGCAGGAGTTATGGACAAGACTGGAAGGAGGATCAGGAGCATGGTGCAGCCCCCACAAAGGCCCATATCAAGCTGAGCATTGCAGGGTAACCTTTTATGGAGCCTTCTCAGGCTTCCAGCTGTGCTGTGTGATTATGTGGGCATTAATCTTGCAAGTACCTTCAGATCTGATCTTGGTCCTACAGGCACTTGCAGGTTGAGGCCTGCTCATTGTCACCCAGGGAACTGTGTCACACCTTCAGTTCCTGTAAGAGTAAGTCCGTGACAGCTTAGGGCAAAAGGGAAAAACTCAAATAGCAATTACATAAGAGTCAGCATCAAATGGAGACAGTCCAAGAATAACCAGCTCTGCCAGTTGCCTTCCATGAGTGGCACCCACCACTTGCAGAACAAAGCTTCAGCATTCCTGGGAACAAAGCGAAGCATGCTGAAATGTTCATTTCTGGCATGGGGCAGAGTGAGCATAAGGGCTGGCTGCTTGCAGAGCAAAAGAGATGGTGGACCCAAGAACAGCTTGGATACCGCTCAAGAACAACATAATCCAATCACAGCATTTGTAGTGTAATATTATTTGCACATAAGGTTTGCATGTTTGCTGAATGAATTATGCTTGAGGATTTATTCTCTAATATGTGGAGGAACAATGTAGGCAAGTTGTATTTCCTGCCTTTTCAGGTCAATACTGTATGCCAGAAGAGGGTGTTCAGCTAACTCCCAAATCTGAACTTTTGAGCACTCAGGAGATAATCACTCTTGCCAGGCTCTTTGTGAAGGAAGGCGTGAACAAGATCCGGCTGACTGGGGGAGAGCCACTCATACGGCCTGATGTGGTTGACATCATAGGTAGGGTCCCCATTCTTCTCTATGTAACAGTTTCAAGTGCACAAACATCAATTTGGAGCTGTGGCCCATGCTATGGACAAATGAACCTGTAGTGCATTGAGAATTCAGGCAGATCTGAAGCCAGGTTCAATTTTAGATATTCTCTCTCGGAAATGGATGTCACACAGTAGAGTGCGTCTTCAGGGTTCCCCCTCCTTCCTGGTTTTTACAGGTTTTGCCACATCAGTTGATCAGCTTTCTGTGTTCAGTGAGCGTGCTGAAAGAAATGAACTCCCATAGACTCTCTGAAATGTATAGCCAGCACTGCCCCCTATAATTACGTATGCAAATGGTTATGATTTAAACATATTCATTTTTTCATCTGTCCCAAGGCTGCTTGCTTTGTCTTATAGTCCTTAGATTCATCTAACTCTAGGCTTTTAAAAAATATTCTTTCTTTCCTAATGTTCTCTTCTCTTCCCTGCCCTACCCACTGTTGTGCTTTTTTAGCTCAGTTGAGCAAACTAGAAGGTTTGCAATCCATCGCTGTCACAACCAATGGTATCAACTTAGCCAGGCTATTGCCTCGGCTAAAGGAAGCTGGCCTGAATGCCATTAACATCAGTTTGGACACGTTGGTCCCAGCCAAGTTTGAATTCATCGTTCGTCGAAAAGGTACTGTCAGAGCAGTGTTGCGATTTTTCCATTCATTCTTTAGTATTGTCATCATTATATCCTGCATCATGTCCCCCCGATTACCAGGTGCTGCAGAATGGGAAATTCATTGCTACATTGGGAGAACACTCACTCACTCACATATTTGGAGATATGTTAATCCTGTCTTTTGCAAGGAGGATGCCCTTTTCATTACAGTTCAGTGTATACATGGCTTAAAGTGGAACTGTTCTGTGTTTGTGTGACCCAGCATGTGGGACCTGAGGAGTTTTGTAATCTACACTAGTGGGAAGGCACTGGAAAGAGCTTAAGAAAAAATATTGATTTTGGAAAGGATTTCTATGAAAGAGAAAGGGGAATCCATGGGTGGTAGCTTAACAAAAACCAGGGGAGAATTCCATTGAGGAAGAACTGCATGGAGTAAGAAGGACAAAATACAAGCATCTCATAGTAAATAGAACTCCTGAGAAAAGAACACAAGAAGACGAGGAGGAAATAAGTAGGGACCAAAAGGTAGAATCTTGTAAATGATAAGAGGTGAGTTGGCTGTGAAATTCTAAGAGAAGGTAAGACTGTTCAGTCGATGTCCATAGAATCCAGAAAAGTAGAAAAGGGACATCCATACAGTATCAGATCCAAAGTTTAACTCAAGGATCCATCCACTGAACTATAAAGGTATTTATTAATCATATGCTAAGTATCCAGTTTGCAATCAATTACATTTGCATTGAAATATTCCTTTTGACATCTGAAAATAGCAAAACAGTAGTTGCCATAATGTAAGCAATCTTGGTTTGGTGTTATCAAACAAATGCAGTGACTATGAATGTTTCTATTGCTCAAATCCCTTTAAATAAATCTCAGAGAATATATTGTACATCTTTTTGTACTGGCACCGCAGACTATACCATGCAGAGTATCTTCCACGTTTTCCACGCTGCACATGCAGTATCTTCACTTAGAAGGCATATTTGGTATTTCCTGCCCATCACAACACAAAGCTTTGGCAGAAATCTCAGCAGTGTGCAACCTTTTGTCCTCGGGGTCAAATCACTCTGTTAAATGTTCTAGGTCATAGTAAAATGTCACTGTCAAATGGCAAGATGGTGCTTTATTATAACTAAGTCCAAATCATTTTGAATGATGTGATGTCTTAGCTGGTTTTAAATTCCAATTTGGCAGCAAGTATTTTAGACTGTACCAATTTTTTTTTTTAAACCAAAACCGTATGTTTAGATTGGGTTAGTTATCTTCTGGACCCATGTAGATTGTCTGGGAGAGTTTAACTGTTTTTCTTGAAACTGCATAATCCATGAATGAGTTTCAACCAGCAAGGAGGGAAATATAGATTATATTCTCAGTATACCTCAAAAGCATTCATGCTTGACTTCCTAATAATATTGAAGGTATTTTCCTGGAAATGTCAGGAGAGATTTTTAAACTGTTATTCTGGCAGTACCTCAGAACACTGGACCATAAAAGTCCCCATTTACTCTGCAGTTATAATTTTGCTTCTATAATGCTTAGAATGGGTACATTTGTTTAACGTTCTAAGTTCTCCAAATTCTCAGTATACCACTCTAATCTAGTGGGGGTATTTTTTATAGAAATAATGGTCAAAATGGAGCCTTCCTTTCACCCAGCCACATAAATAGGAAGCTGTCTGCCAGTGATGTACAACTGCAGGTTCTTTATTAATATTGGCACTCTCAAATACAGGTTAATTTTGGGGAAACTGCTTTCTCATTTTTCTGTCCGGTGTGTCATAAGTTGTCTTTGTCTTTACCAAGGCCACTTGAGGATCTTTCTTCCTTGATATCAGCATTTCTAGAGTAAGGGCTCCCATACAGGGTTGCTGTATTCTAGGGTTATAGGGTTAGGGGCATTGTTTTTATACTTGTTTTGAGATTTTTTCGGTGATATTTTCCTCTCCCAACTGAGCATACAGAGGGTACAGCAAACATTCTGTTGCGTCTTCTTCCCCTGCCCCAGTGCAATTGCAGCATAGAATTGTTCTGTAAATGTGGAGGTCCAGAACTTAGCATGCTTTCACAAAGGCTCAAAGGTTCAAAAGAAAATTGCATGACTGCGTGACTGGCTTGCATAAAAGAAAGTCTTTGATCCCCTCCATCACATTGTCATTTGGTTGTCACTGTAATTATATGGGAACTCTTCAAAATCTGTAAAACTGTCAAACAAATGTAGAAGAGAAGTGGATATTGTTGTATAGTAGTAGGTTTTTGAAAGTGAAATCTCTGGTTTTGCCTTGGGGTTGTTGGGAGGTTGGGAGATAGGACAGAATGAAAGCCCAAGAAATGAAGATATTACAGTAGTTTAGATAAGTGAGACTTAAGGTAATCAGGGGTTTTAGTGATAGAAGCTAAGTAGGAAAGTCAGAAACTTTGAAATGCAAATAGAAAATAGAAAGGCCTGGCCACAGCCTGGCTGTAGCTGGAGAAAGTGAAGATTGAACCCGAGACTGTGCCTGGAAGAAAATGGGAATAGCACCTCAGTATAGCAATTCTGTCTCTGTCCAATGTTCAGGTTGTGAGTGGTGTTTTTTCTCTAGCTGAAATAAAACAAGAAAGGAAATATGAACTGGCTTGGACAGACCTCCAAAATTTGCAAAAGCACATCTTTTTTAAAAGCCCCAGGGGAGCAATCCTCTCACCAAAAAACAAACCAAGAAAGAAAAAACACTGAGCATTACTTAGTGGCCATAGAATGCTAAGTGACTGGGGAGAAAACAGAAAATGTACGGGTGGGAAGGAGTAACTGGAATTCAGAAGAGTAACATCACTCTGCAATGCTTTGCACCATTTCCAATTGTCTTCTCTCTGGGCTCAAGTTCTCGAGGTTTCATCTCCACCACCAGACTATTTCAAATATCTTTTTCTTACATCTTGTTCCCTATCCGATCCTTCATCTCACCATCATATTCCCCTCCCTAATATCCCATATTGCAAATGAGAAGCAGAGGGCTTCTTTGCCCCTGTCCTCATCATTTATAAGAGTGAGAGGCTGATAAAAAGGGCATAAGACTTACCTTTTGGATCTTGATGCAGTGATGAAGAGTAGCTGGGGTGGCAGTCTCTTTTTTCTCCAGTCAGTCCCCATTCCGCATTCCGTAGCAAAGGAGGAATGCCTCTGAAATGCTGGTTCAGTGTTGCACAACTTCTAGCACTGGGCAAAGCCTTTTTTTTAGAAAGTGGAAAGCCCATGCCACTTTTTATAATGATGATGCCTTCTCCACAAATTCCTATAATTTGGTTATCTAAAGGTGCTGAAAATTCTCCCCCACCGACATACACACATTCTTGTGTGGTGGGAGGGGGGGGCAGGGAGCAGACAGGTGTGGGATCTGATGCAGCTGCTTGGTCACTGTGAAACTAGAATGCTCGACTAGATGGCCGCTGGGTATGATCCAACAGGGCTTGTCTTACGTTCTTAGATTCTTAAGGCTTACATCTAGAATGTACCTCTGTTGGTTTTGCTTAATGTTTTACTTCACTGGTGGATATTCTTTAACAAAAGGCATATGCTGATTTCACAGTCTTGCAGTGGTGACAGATGGCATTGAAACAGGATTAATACTGTTTTGTGAGAATCTGTCATATGCCCAGCAAAACTGAAACCAGGCTTTTGAAAGGAAGCTAGGCATCTCAGTTTTCATTACCATTTTCATTCAGTGAAATGCTTGCCTGTAACCACTAGATGGTGCTACTGCATCAGTTAAATCTTGTGCAGGCCAGGCAATAAAAAGTTACTTTAATGGGTTCAAGATGTATGCATATTTCCTTTGTGTTATATTTAGTTGTTTCTAAATATGGATTGTGCTATGTATGGGACTCTTTGGATAGATGGCACGACCTGTCCTTTGCATACCTACATTTGAGCATATATCAAATTCTACAAACCTTACTGTGTTCAGAAAAAAATTGACATAATTTTCTGCAATTCCACTGCAGTACAATTGTGTGCAATGCCAAGGAAGCACAGGGCCTTGCCTAGGCTTTGAAGAGTTTAGTCAAGAAGCTAGATATTTTGTGAAGACAGTAAGTAGACTCCAGCCATTTTATTTAATTCTGCTCTGCCTGCAATGACCTGTTAAGAGCCAGTGTGGGACTGAGACTCAGGCGATCTGGGTTCTAGTCCCTACTCAGCCATGAAGCCCACTGGGTGACTTGAGGCCAGTCACAGACTCTCAGCCCAAACTACCTGACAGTGCTGATGAAATGGAAAGGAGCTGTTTCGTGCAAACCTCCTTGAGTTCCTTGAAAGAGGAAGAAAGGTGAAATATAAATCTACAATTGAATAAAATAGAAGGTACTTAAATCCTGCCTAGGTACTTAGTAAATTAGAAGATGTAATGATGCTCCCAAGTGTAGATGACTTTGAAAGTGGATTAGACAAATTTACAGAAGCAGAAGCTCCTGTCAATGGTTAGCAGTAATAATAGCTGTCTGGTACCTTCAGAATCAGAAGCGGCCTGCCTCTGAATGCCTGCTCTGGGAACAAGAGCAGACAAGCAGTATCATGCTTGTATGCTGTTTGAGGGCCTCACAAGAGGCATCAAGATGACTTCAAGGGCAATAGTAGACTGCCTTTGCTTTTGATCTGATCTAGCCCTTCCTCTCACCCTGACTGGTGGGCTTTTATCTGGGTAGGAAAAGCTACGGCTTCGATTTATCTTCTGCAGAGATTTGATCTATTCTAGCTCTTGCCTTTGCAACCCTCTGGATTACACATCAAGAAAACAAACGAGCTGATGCAAGTTGTCTAAACTAATATATTTGTCCTTTGGCAATGCTTTTGGGTGACTGCTTGGTTCTAAATGGCCTACTGCCTTTCCTAAAGTCCCACAAGCATCCTTCTTTCTGACTTGCTTACAGGAGCTTCCTTGAACATCATAGTCATGAGAGTAACTCTGGAATGTTTATCACTATATGTTATACTTTCAGTTGCCATGTTTAGTCTGCAAGTATCTTTTATCAGAGTAAACCTTGCAGTTGAAGTCAGAGGTTTTCTAAGACATGGGATGGAGAAGTAACAAGTATTGAATTCAGCATTTCCAACTTACATGAAGCTTATCCTTTTTGTAAGTCCCTTCCCTATTCCCTTCTCTCTTGGAAGATCAGCATTTTGCCACAAACGCACCACTCAGGAATTGGCGTCAGATGAATTCTACCTCTTTATCAGAAGCAGCTGATCTTCCACTTTACCTGAAGACTGTAGAACCCAAGGAACTGGACACCAGTTCTAAGAGCACCAGGAAAGCGGGTTAGACTTGTGGTTTTTTTCAGGCAGCGGTATATCCAGGCCATGTGACAATTCTTTTGAAACCAAATAAAGTTGGTTACAAAAAAGTTGCAAAAGTTGTTGGAGGTGTGCATGTACATATAGTTATCCTTACAGTTAAAAAGAAAAGGCTACCTGTATGCTCCATCTGTGAATCTAAGCAGTATTTTGGATCCTGGTCTGAATGTCCAGATTTTCTAGAAGCAATAGCTGATAGTTGGACATGCTTTCTTTTCCCCCTGAGCTGGCAGTAAATAACCATGCTGTTCAGTTGAACGCAAATATTCATACTTTTGCCACAAAAATACAAAGTTTGACCTATAATTGGTACCAGTATAAAGTTCAGCATTCCAAGTCCCTTTTTGACATAGAAAAACTGGTTTTAACTTAATGAGCTTGATGGAGGGTCATGAATTCAATTTCAAAAAGATATAAATTCATACTTCAGTATTTTTCTGTTATATTTCTTGAGTTTATATTTTTCAAAAGATTTTAATAGCTATTTTTAATCTGTCCTACAATAGAGTTTATCTCTGTTTTCTGTTTTAGGTTTCCACAAGGTGATGGAAGGGATTTACAAAGCACTGGAACTTGGATATGATCCTGTTAAGGTGAGATTGTCTCATGCTATGAATCTTATGATAGTTATTAATTGTAGAGAATAAGTACACTGTTGTAGATCTAGAATTCTTATTTTGCAGTTCATGTCTTTTTATTCTCTTCTGTATTGATTAATAGCACCTGTTAATTATATATATAAAATAAATGTATGCACGCACATGCATTATTTAAAAATATATCTACTTGCTGCCTACATCACCATTCCTCAATTAAGAATGGAAAATGGTAAGTACACACAAACTTTCCCTGGTGTGCTCCAGATGTGTTGGACTACAACACCCACTATCCCCAGCTATTAGGACATGGTACTAGGGATGATGTGTGTCAGACCAGAATATCTGGAGAATACCAGATTGGGGAAGGCTGGTCTAGAGCCTCTACCCCGATGACCAGTTCTGGAATAGATCCCCCTTCTCCAACAGCAGTTGCCTTTAGATAAAAATTAATGAAAAATTGTCTTTTCCTGTGCGAATCCTGAGCCCCTATCCAGATTCCAGGTTGTGCTGCTAAGCTGGTGACCTTGGAAGCTGTATGTCCATCAGTTTCAGTCAGCTGTCCTCTGTTTTACTTCTAGGTGAACTGTGTGGTCATGAGAGGCCTCAATGAAGATGAGCTGATAGATTTCGTCGCCCTTACAGAGCAGCAGCCTCTGGACGTGCGCTTCATAGAATACATGCCCTTTGATGGTGAGCACTCAGGATGTGCTTTGCTTGGAAGGATGGATGATGCGGAAATTGGCAATTCCCATTTTTACAGAAGATGGTGATGGAGCAATGCCTTAGGAATGTCTACCATTTCCATGATGTTCAGAGCTTGCTGTTTAGAAAGGGGAAAAGTGAAAGCTAGATGTTTTAACACTGGGTTCCTGGATTCCTGGAAATACTTTCTGTGATTTTCTGAGTGATCTCAGAGTTCACAGAAGCAAAAGCTTAAAATTCTTTTAATTTACTTCCAAGGAGCTTTTTGCAACCAAAAGTATACCTGAAACAACTTTCTCCAAGAGCAGAACCACTAATTTTACAATTACAAACCTTATTTTTTAAATGATCCCTCTGTTATAAAATACTACCCAGATCTCTTCAAAATACTGGGCAACAAGCTACTGCGAGCAGTGCTCTTGTGCAGTAAAAAGGGACTCACAGGATTCTGTTCTCTCTGGTGGTTCTCATTCTGCTTTTTCTGCGGTTCTTCTCTGTGGCACCTTCAGTCTTGCATGCTTTGCTGCCTTTGGTGCAAGTATCAATTTCATGGGCTGGGAAGGGGAATACAACATAACTTGGGATATGTAATTTAATCAGATAATGAAGTTATTCTGTGGTACTACCAAATTTATAGGATTACCCCTCCAGTACCACCACTGTCAGACACACTGATTACAAGTCAAAGATTGATTCCCCTCTCATTCTAGGCAACAAATGGAACTTCAAGAAAATGGTGAGCTATAAGGAGATGCTGGATACAATCAAGCAAAGATGGCCAGAACTGGAAAAGCTGCCATGTGAAGAAGTCTCTAGCACTGCCAAGGTGGTTAATAGCTTCATCAAAGGAGTCTTGAAACTTTAATTCGGTTCAGGGCATGCCTGTCAGCCAGCTGAGTCAATGCCAATGAGATAAGCTGCAGAAGGGAAACATTACATGGCTGCTGTTGTCCTCAAAGATTTACTTTTGGCAATGCTGACAGTCATGATTAAAGGATATGAAACTGGAGGGAGTCCACGGCCACTCAGAGTAGCCTTAATGTTGCTGAAGCAAAACTGTTTGAAGTGTCATAGAGAAGGGTGCGCAGCAGAGGCAAGGATACATCTGGTATGGTGAATGTTGAGGCTGACGAGGAAAAAGGTGGTGTATCTGCAAACCTGAACTCTCACTGAACTGCACGATAGCTTGAGATGTGCCCCTAATTTGCCCAAGAATGATAAAGTAAATGGGTTGTGTCTTTCCTCGGGATAGTCAAGGATATCTGTGATGGTATCCATGCTGACCCACTGAAGCTAGGAATGCTAGAAATGCGTTTTTGTTTTCTTTTTTTGCACAGGTTTGAAAGTTGTAAATATAATTACGTCCACATACTTGTGCTTCATATGGTATACATCTTGCTTGACTTTCTGTCTTGCCAGAAATGATTAGAAACTGTTGGGGAAAGTCATATGCGAAGCAGTCCTCGGGATTGTTCCATATGTAACCAAACTGATCCATAGAAAACACTCATACAAAAGAAAAACCCTGTTAACTCATACTGAGATCATCGTATCCAGAATTTGTGCACACCTGCATTCTGCTGGCAGATGGGTGTTTTTTAGCTGTGCTGCAGTTTTCCCATTTTTTCAACGATTGAAGTATACAGCAAAAGCAGCATTCACAGCAGTAATGACAAGAGTGCCCAACAGGAAAGGAAAAGAAATGGCAGCGCGAAGTGGAAGAAGATAGTAGAAAAGATGATGATGATGCAGATAACGGAGATCTGTTTGGAAATAATTGGTGTGTACATGGTGTACAGATTCTTGAAAACCATTTCCAGTTGCAGTTTTCCAGAATGCGCGCATAGGCTGCAATGTGGGGACATTCAGTTGTTACACGTGGCCCACACCCCATTTCTTGCACAGAAGGGAAAGTTGCCTTAGCCTGCTCACATTTTATTGTGACGCTACTAGAAAGATTGGCACAGAACCTTCGTTTCTGCATATATTGTAGAGCAAACTCACACAATCAACAGGAAAATATTAGAATGAAGGCTCCTGGTAATTATTCTGGCAGCTCTTAATCAAACATGCCCTTGCATAACGAGGGAGTGACGTAACTGCAAGAAATGAGCTATTTTCAGTAATACACATGTATCAGGCAGGGTTTTTTTTATCTAAGAGGGTCACTTCGCCCTGTAAATTGATAGTAGATTAAACCCACAATCGCAGAGTGGGCATCTCACCTATTAGATTCACCAGAAGGGCCCAATACTACCCTTACAGGTCAGTGAAATGGATAGTTCAAAATTTCATGAAGATGACCTTCAACTTTTCTTTGTTCTTCAGTTTTTGGCTTTTTGTAAGCTGTCCAGACAGCATAGAAAAACTTTAAATAAACTTCTCTCTGCATTTTCCTTCTTCCTCCATGGCAGACTTACAAGGTACCACATTTTCAAGGAAAAGTCAGTTTCATCACCTCGATGTCTGAGCATTTCTGTGGATCCTGTAATCGACTGAGGATCACAGCCGATGGGAACTTGAAGGTAGAGGCATCATATTATTCACCAGCTGTGATGTTTGGATGCTTGCTAATGTTTGGTTTAAATAAATATATAAACACCACATGTGCACTGACAAACCTAGTATTGCATCCAAAACAAGTCCAAAAATCTTGGGTGCAGGCTGCCAAAACACAAGTGGTAAATCAAATTGACAGTTTCTGTTACATCCTACTGTGGCATCTTTAATGTATTGCTCAAAGAAACTGCGGCTTTTTGCTCAGCTCTTTTGTGTTCTCATTGTTCCAGAAACGCTGCCTTTTTTTTCCTCCTTATTTTCATTCTGCACCATCTTTGAGCTGTAAATCTAATTGGGGAGAAGCCTGTGAAGATAAATATTAAACTTTTTCTTGCACGTTTTGTGGTAAAATCATATTAAATTGGCAACAGGCAAGCTACTCCCAGTAACGGGAGACAGAGGACTATGGAGGAGTTGATTTTCCACCTTTCCAGTGGCCAGTTTCACCACAGACCTCTGCAGGATTTGTCTGCTCAGGCATGTGTCGCACACACTAGAAAACTGGATAGAGGGAAGGGGTGTGTGGAAGAGGATTTCTACCACATTAAACTGCTGTGCACTTGAAATCAGTGTGCAGTTTCTTGCTGGCACTTGTATTCCAACCCACCCTGTGGCAACAGCAAGCATTATACCAGTATCTATCAACACCAAGTCAGAGTGATGTGTGGAACAGGATCATCAATGTCTCTAAAATGTGCAGGCCAGTGCTTTGGGTCACGCTAGAGCAGACTTGGGCTGTATCCAGCAGAAGTTCTATTTAGAACAGGTCCAGTGAAAAGCCCATACGTTTCAATGGACCTTACAGATCTTAGACTGTATTTTCGCCTGCTTGTATTTAAGCAGTTCCTCAGTAGCCATAAGTGACACAAACTTGCATGCTAGTGAATGAGAAGACAGTGTGTCTTTGTTCGACTTTCACACTACTGTCCCCTCAGCCATCGATGATGGAATGCCCTTGAAGGTGGGGAGCCCAGGAGGTGGCAGGCCTGCCAACGCACACAGTCCCCTCCTGCTAAGGCTGTTGGGGAGTTTTCCCAAGGAACTATTGCTTGTTCCTCCTTCTACCAGCAGGCAAAGGCTGCTGCCTTCAGCAAGCCTTTGGCCCACAAGTGAGCTGGGTGGATGTGGTGCTGCTTTCATTTTGATGGAAGGATAGATTCTATTGTATAGTTATTCTGTTAATATTTTACTTTTTTGTTTCAATTTTAACCCATTTTAATTATGCCTATAAGCTGCCTCGGGTGCCATTTTTGGTAGCTCAGCGGGGTATAAATTAAATAAAATTCGGCATTCTGTCCCAGGATGTGAGTGTCCCTGTGTGGCAGCCTCCCAACCTGGAATATCACGGGCAGTTAGCTGCCATCACAAGGGCAGGCTCACACAGGCCATCATCCTGTGCCATCCTTGGCAGTCACACCTAACTCCATCTGCTGACCCCATCAGGGGTGGGGCTCAAGTTGTCTTTTGCACACACCTCTTGAGTGGGGTCCATGCTTTTTTGAAGCACCCTGATTTGTTCTCAGGGTGAGCAGCCTTCTGCCCTCCCGTCCGTGAGGTGATCTAGAGATAAATGCTTTTTGAGACTGTTCCCAACGTTCTCTCTGGTGTCACCTGTGCTGATGCGCCCCCCTCTGCTGCATCCTCCTTCCAGGTGTGCCTTTTTGGAAATTCCGAAGTGTCCTTGCGAGATCACTTACGCTCTAATGCCACAGAGGAAGAATTGATCCAAATTATCGGTGTCGCTGTTGGGAGGAAGAAGCGGCAGCATGCAGGTATTTCGTTTTACAGTGGGGGCTTTCCCCTTCCAAGTAGGCCATATCATGCACACCCCTGAAGAGTGAGCACAGACAAGTACAGTGCCCTCATCTCCAGGAGAACACGGGATCAATAGAGCATCAAGCAGAGCACGGACGCAGCCTTTTGACTGTCGGTGTGGGACTTCCACTGCTTTTGGCATGAATGGGTTCCAGTTTATGCTGAAAACATTCTTTAGTGTTTGTCCAAAATAGCAGCTGGTCACTAAAGAGCATTTCCATCCCAACGCTGCTGCCACCCTTGGGCCAACTGCTCCTTCACTAGGCATTGCTACCTGTGGAGCTTCTCCTTTCCCTCAGATGCTTATGTCACGGGGCCCAAGGAACTCTGCCATCATGACTCAGTCTGCCAGTCACCATAATTTATCATTTTATTCCCAGGCATGTTCAACATTTCCCAGATGAAGAACAGACCGATGATCCTCATTGGTGGGTGACCAATCTGTACGTAGCAAACACTTCAATAATGCTGTATTTGCATTTGCTTCTTGGGGAGGCATTCAGTCTACATTAAGCAAAAGTATTCATACACTGTAAGCCACTGCTAGATGCACCTGGATTTCTAAAGAAGTTGCAAATACCTTTTCAAAATGCACACAAGGAGGTACTGCACATCATTTGGAGGGAAACTCATAATCTCTTGGGCTGTTCATTTCACCCTTATTCTGAATTTGCAACTTGCTTAGCTGACATTGGGGGATTCCCTCTTATTCTCACCATAGTCTATAGGTGAGGTGTTTATAATGAACACGCTTTCCCCACTTTCTGCCCAGACATTTCAGATGCACTACCAGAATTGTGTAGTTGTGAAATAGGTAATTTGGGGAGCAGGAACAGTGAGCTGTGGACACTCCTGCAGCACAGGAGAGCTGTGTGGCAAACCCGTTGCCGTCCCAGCTGCACTCTGGTTAGATTCATGTGGGGTCTTGCCTGTAATTGAGTCAGGCATTGTGGGGAGAGCAAGGGAAGCTGGATGCAAGGGTGGGATTCCTCCAGCTGGTCTTGGAATGGCAGGTTCGCTGGCTACAGACTCTTCTGTAGTGAAGAACGCGATCAAATCTGACAGGCATGGCTTTCTGCTTCTTGGGAAAACTAACCACTGGCATTTTCTGTGCAAACACTGATCTCTGCGACCAGAGCGGAGCCAGGAGCCAGCTGTATTATGACACACAGGCTAGTTCAGCCACATGGAGAACAGCTAAAGGGGGTTCCTGTGTTGGCCTTTGAGCAGATTGCATAATTCCAGTGTCAGGGTGCAAACAGGCTGGAAGAAGCGCGCAGAGAGCACCGGGGGGGGGGGGGCTGCAAGGAGTCAGCTCCATACCAGCTGAGAGCCATGCAAAGAATTAGCTGTACTGTTCTGCTTTCTTAGCATATTGCCATGCTTCCCTTCATTGCTTTGCTTTAGCTGGATTCTCTTAAAATGCAGGCTGATCTCAGTGTTTCCTTTGGCACGTAGGTTCTGTGGCGTGGTGGGAGGCTTGTTGAGATGCAAAGAAGCGTATAGTTAGGACTTTGACAGTATAGACTTGATGCAAAGCCTGGCCATGCTGGGTGGCTGAACATAAGCTCCCTCTTCTGAATCATAGTCTGAGACTCCACACTGTCTTAATCTGCATGGCAGACTTCTTCCTCTCTGTGTGAACATGCATCTGTAAGCAGGCGGGCATGGAGAGCTCTTCCTCAGCCCATCACAGAGTGGGCCATCTCTGCTGTTCATGCCATTCAGGGTATCAGTATGTCGAGTCTTCCCCTCACCTGCTAACAAGGTGACCTCCATAAACTCCTCTCCAGTCATAGTATATTAGGGGTAATATCTTGAGCAGCTCTGTCTTGAGTAGGGATGTACGAGGAAGCTGTCTGGGGGTGGGGATCTGTCAGCTCTCTGGCCTGCTCTGCAAGGCGCATTGGCCAGGAATTGTGCCACAAGCACTGCCTAAGCCCTATCCCGCCTCCGTGCCTCGTGCTGCCACCACTGGCTGCCCTCGACGGGGAGGAGGGCTGGTGGCCAGGAGTGGCCCCTGCACAGCCACTCGCAGTGCCCCTCCTCTGTGCCCGGCGGCGGCAGCAGCAGCAGCAGCAGCAGCAGCAGCAGCAGCAGCAGGCGGTGGGAAGCAGGTTGGTTGCCTTCTTCGGGGAATGATGCCTGGTGCGCCCACTTGCAGCACCCCTTTTCTACGTCCTCCTGCTGCTCCTGATGGGGAGGATGCCAGTTGTGTCCCCGGGCATTTGTGGACTTCCCCTTGGCCCAGACTGCTTTGTGGAACTAGGCCAAGCGCAAGAGGAAGCCCACAGATACTGGAGGGACAGATTCCAAAAAGGTCCATCCCAGCCTTTCTCTTGAACTAGGAAGAGGAACTGAAAGACACTTGTCACAAAGCAGAGCACTGGCACACGTGATGCCTGACATGATGCCAAATAAATGGTGGAGAGTCCCTGGGCTGTGGAGGTGGGTAGACCTTCACCAAGAAATTTCTCCTGCTATTTTGTTGCAGGCAACACACAGTACCCCTTTCTCTGTCTTAATAGATGGCTTAGTCACATTCTGGTGCAAGGGAAAGAGACAGAGGGCGAGAGACGGAGGGTGTCGGATCAGGTCCAGAAAATTGCTTTGAGTTCATCTGGTTTCATCTGTTGCCCCCAGGAATTAAGCTGGGCTCCTGACTTTCCTTCGTAACCCATAGGGCTTTATAGGTGAGCAGCTCAATTAGAAACAGCTTTGTGCATTATATGTAGCAGAACAGTCACTCCTCAGGAGCCCCCGACAACATAATCAGGGATTATGGGAGTTGTTGTCCAAAGCATTCGGGCAGCTCTAGGATCTATAAATAAGTCCATCTGTAAACAAATCCTGAAAAAACAGAGAACTGATTTGGTTTTGGTGGCAGCAGCGGCAGCATTTTTCTAAAGCCCTAAATCCCTAGGATGCAGTCTTTTCCATAATGGCAGGAACCCTCCAAATGTCAAGGCTTATACTCATCCTAGGCAAAGCAGGAGGTCTCCCAGAGGTGATCTTTGCCTCCCAGTCCTCCTGGTCTACATATTTTGCTAGGTGGTCTTTTTTACTTGTCTAGCTGCTGCATTTTGGGGAGGAGGGAAAGAGACTGGTGAGGCTTCAGGATAATTAATATCTTAGCCTCTCCAGTGTATTTGCATCCCCGCCCCTGGCACACCTACCTACACATACACCCCCCCCCCCCGTTCTTTCTGTGACAGCAGGAAGGTGAGAGGGGCCTCCAACCTCAGACCTGCATATCCAGAGCATCCCAAGGCCCCTCAGAAGTTGACTAGGAGGCATGGGGTGGTTCTTGCAATGTATCATTGGAGGTTTTGATGGGCTGTGTCCGTGCTTTGCTTTGCTTTGCTTTGCTTTGCTTTGCTTTGCTTTGCTTTGCTTTTTACAGTCTTGGCAAATTGGAAAGCTATTACCACTTCTGTCCCTTCAGCTGGCAGCATTCTGGAATGGATGTGAGGTCTGCTCATATAAGTGTGTCCTTAACACTGGGAGAGATTGTTGTTCAGTTTGCATTTTGCTAAGAATGTACCAAGGCTTCACTTTCTGAATCCATGCAAATCAGAATGCGGTTGTCTTTTGACAAACCATTCAGAGTTTTGTTATGCTATTCTCCAAACAAAGATGTGTACCTCAGGGGAAAGGCCCATGGGGATGTTCAGATGGACTTTAAGTTGCAAACTGGTGTGGAAATGGGGCAGAAAAAAACTGCAGAATGGCAAAATGAGAAGCTGACAAAAGCTGAAATGGGGCTGAGAATGGAGGAAGTGCTCCGAACCTTGCAGAGGACTTGCAGCCAAGCCTGCTGAGGGAGTGAAACAAAAATTGCTTGCCAAGTGCACTGTCCTAATCAGTCAGAAGGTCTCCTGCTCCGGGCTGGTGACTGTGTTGCAGCTGAGCCGAGAGATGTGCAGGGAGGTGCCCCAACTGCATCCCTGCATATGTGGGCTGAGTCCCCGGCTGCCCGTCAGTGGCTTTGTAAAACCAGCATGGGTGCCAGAGTGACTTCTGTGCCCCAGCTGCAGGCATGGCAGGAAGCGTGAGTGCCCCACTCCCATGAAGCTTGAATTGCTGTTAGAATTCCTCCTGGAGACAAAGTTGGTCCACAAGTTGAGCTGCATTGGGCCACACCTTGTCTTTCAGCTGCTGGAAATAAACCAGGGCTGCTCGTTGGAGCATAAGCTTCACGGGGAAGCCAAAAGCTGAAGCTGCTGCTTCAAGGTACACATCATTAAAGAGAGATTTGGCTACCGCTTTGCGTCTTCCTCCCCCTTTTCCTCTCCTGCTCATAAAGAGAATTGCTTCCATTATGTTTAACAGGCTCCTTTTGACTTGGGCCTTGGCACCGGACTCTAGGCTTGCCACAGCCAAGGGATTAATGAGAAGGGCAGAGAGGTCCACATCCCAGTGGGCTTGGAACTTAGGCTGGCAGGCCTCCCAGCCCGAGCAAAGGTAACGCGTGTCAGCAAGGAAACCGGCGCCCACCACAGCAAAGCTCCAGGCGTGTGAGCAAGAGCTGGCAAGAGTCAGCAGCTCCTTTGTGCTAGTTGCTGCCTGTTATTCCTGCAGGTTTAGAGAATGGAAAACTAGAACCTTTCCACTTTGAAAGTTTTGGCTGCGCCACCAATTGAGGGTGTGCTGTGAAGGACTAGGATGCAAGCAAAAGGGACTGTACTTGATTCTCACTAGTTTTCTTGAAATGCGACTCTGAAAGAGGACATTTGACAGTACGATAGCCAACTCCTGAGGCTTCTGACTAAGTCAGGGATGAAAGTGTCTTGGTGGTCAGGGAACTGGTCTTCTGAAGAAGGCTCTTGCAAGGGAATCTGTCTGGGCAAACCTTCCAAGCAGGGTGGACAGAACGTAGATCTGTGGATGTTTTACACTTCAGCTCCTGGAAACCCCTGACCTATGGGTATGACTGCTGAGAGTCCAAAACATCTGGAGATCTACTTTCTGACCATCCCTCATCCTACAGGACTGCATAACCATCTCTCTGTATCCAGACGGGTTTCCTTTTTCTCCCTGGCAAAGTTAATAATTGTTTCTTCAGCAGCAATCCCCTTCCCCACTCCAAATCATTGACCTTTTCCCCCACAGAGCCAACAGCCTCTGGAAATCTGGACTCTTGGCCAATTATGATCATAGACACATAGAATTTTAGAATTAGAATTCAAGTGGACCCCAGAGGTTGTCTTGTACAGCCCCCAGCTCAGTGCAAGAGCGTTGGCCATGCAGCCCCCACTTAAATACTTCCAGTAAAGGAGAGCCCACCACTTTCCTCATCAGTCGGCTTCACTGACTAAGAGTGCTCTTACCATTAGGAAGTCTCTCCTAGTATTTATTGGGAATCTGGGGGAGTTTTTTGCCATTTTCATCCATTTGTTCTAGGCCTGTTCTCTGAAGCAACAGGGAGCAACTTTTTTATTTAAAACATATATTGTGGAAAAATACACTGTCTTTACTGTATTGTGGTCCTGTTTAAGAACTGTTGTAAACTGCCCAGGGAGCTTGGCTGGCAGGTGGTATAGAAGTTAAATTAATAAATACATGATAACCCTCAAATATTGAAAGATTGCTATCATGCCCACCTTGATCCTCTCTCTGCAAGGCTAAACAGGCCCAGCTCTTTCAGCCTTTCCTTAGAAGTCATGATTTACAGATCCTTCAGCATCCTGGTTACCCTCCTCTGAATGATCTGAGGGTGCTGATTTGAGGGTGCACAGGTGTGCTTAAAGGAGCTCTGTGGCTGACAGCCATAGTTTTGCCAAGTTTTTGGGTGCGTGGACTGTACTTTTATGCAGTTTTGTAGTCCTGCATGACACAGACACTGACCTCTGGTTAACGACCCTCGGATTTCTGACAGATGCGGCTGCATCTATTTTTTAATAGAAGAACCAGTTTATAGCTCATATGGCTATGGGAATCTCTTTCTGTGGGAGATTCCACATCTGCTAGAGATTCCCTAAGGAAGTTTGGAGGGAGAAAGCTGCACCCTCATCCCCACCACCTCCTGGCTACTTTTAGTACCTTCCAATTCCAGTCAGTATTCCATGAGCCAGACGTCCTTGCTCACTTCTAATTTTCAGTAAGGATAGAGCCAGAGCAGATGAAGTGCTGCCATCCAGATGACTGATGCCTTCCCATCGCTCCCACAGTCTCTGACCACTGGCTGTGAAGGGTGAGAGTGGTGTTGTCCAGATGGCTTGCACTGCATAGTTTCTGCCCCTTAACAGATCAGTAACTTTCATATCCATCATGCCAACCAGTGGTCAGTTCAATGCAGTACAGTTGTTATAACGTTGTTTGTGATCACTTGGAACTTTGGCTTTCTGGACTCCTGGAGCTCTGGCATTCGAGCAATATCTGCTTCAGGTGCTTTACAGCCCTGCATGCACCCATCACAAATGTTGTCTTCTCTCTTCGTGAGCTTGGAATGAGCACAAATGGCATTCAGGCCACCCACCATTTTCCAGATGTCGGTCACCATGTAGCATGAGAAGTTGCTGTACAAGAAACAATGTCAAGGTCCAGCCTGACATGAAAGTTAACGCAGTTCTCTGGACTCCACCAAGCTTGGTAGCTGCTTTCTAAAAATTGATAAGTTCCCTTGCAAAATCCTGTTCATTATATGAAAGAATATGGCTTTCTCCACGCTTTGCATGTGTTTACAAAACTCTGCATTCACTAGTAGCTTTTCTCTTCTAACATCTACTCTGTTGTTGTTTCCCAGAGGTGGTACCAAGGTCATTCTCCCTGCTCCAAGATGCTCTGCAGGACCGAGAAAGCTTAAATGATTGGGGCCACAGATTTGACCATTGGCTGACTCTGAGAGCAAGTTTATCCAAACAGATGGGAAAAACATTTAAGGAAAATGTGTTTAAAAGACAGCGTGCTTTGCCAGGATCGTGTTCAGCCCAACAGACTGCTGCAAGATTCCCACAAGCTCCGTTCAGTAGGAGTTGCGTTCTCCAAAAGAACCCGAGTGCCAGCTTGGATGCAAAGTGCCTTTGGACAGGAACGCCTCTCTCCAAGCAGGCCCCTCACATGATTAGGGGCTTTCACTCTGGGGTGATGAGAAAGCAAGCAGAGGAGGAAAGTCGGCGAGCTCTTCCCACTGCTGCCTTTCTAGGTGCCTCAGATCATCTCACCCACATTGACCAGGAGGGCCGTGCATCTATGGTGGATGTGAGCTGGAAGCCAGACTCTGAGCGGACAGCCGTGGCCAGCGCTGTGGTCCATCTAGGCGAGAAGGCATTTCACTTGGTACGACAGAACCAGATAAAGAAAGGGGATGTTCTGACAGTTGCCCAGATTGCCGGGATTCAGGGAGCCAAGCTGACCAGTCAGCTGATTCCCCTGTGCCACAACATCGCCCTGAGCCTGGTGGAGGTGGCCCTGCGCCTGGACGAGAAGAGGCACGCAGTGGTGATCCAGGCTCTGTGCCGCACCCGAGGGAAAACGGGCGTGGAGATGGAAGCCTTGACTGCTGCCAGCCTAGCCGCCCTGACCGTGTACGATATGTGCAAGGCAGTCACGCACGACATGGTCATCGAAGAGGTGAAGCTGCAAAGGAAGGAAGGAGGGCAAAGGGGGAACTTTCAGCGAGGTTAAGGCAGGTCTGAACCAAGAGCTCGTCCGCCCATCACTTGCTGTATGACAATCTCAGAAACATCCTCTTCATGTACAAGGAATCAGGCTTCCAGCCATGAACACGTACAAAGCACAACTTGAGCTGTCCATCATTCTGCTGTTGGATTGACAGCTGCTTTCCATGACTTGGCTTGGATCTTCTCATTTGCTTGCCTTCTGCTCATGTAGCTAATGCCTTGCTGGCAGTTTTGAAGCCTTGCTTAGTTGTTTTGGACTTGTTCTTGCTGATGCATCGCTGTCAACTAGTCAACAATTACTAGTTTTAACTCTTCCCATTCTGTACAAAGCTACAATCTCTAATGTTCACTATTGTCCATCTCTATTTCTCCAGCACTTAAACCACCTGTACAACAGGACCTAACTAGATTACATTGATTAAGAGTAATCTGATCTGGACCTAAGAATTCAGCTGGTGGCAAAAAGACTGGTAGCCAGAATTCCCAAGGGAAGAGGGCAGTGACTTGAACTCCTCACGTGGGCCTAACACTGGAGAGTATAACCTATGTTTCCTCATGAGTCAAATACTGTTTTGGTACCATGAAAATAGGTTTAATTTTCTTCTTGAAAATGGAAAAAGAAAATTTTATCAACTGGTAAACTGATATACTCAAACCCTTGTCCTAATTATGAGCCATAAAATTTTAGGTTCCTAAATACGTTAAGTATGTATGGAGTACAATAACTTGTACATTCTGCTTTGTTTCTTGGCAACAAAATTGTGCCTGTTAACATAGATGCTCTTTCACGTCTGTCTTCCACCACATTTTTGGAAATCGTCTGCAGTTATTTTTCAGAAAAAAGACTCTTCTTTCTCCTCTACACTAGCCAATACACCTCTGTGAGCTGGTACTATTCCCTGGTACCTTTGTTTGCCACTCCAAATGTTCCCTATTTTATTTAATCTGAATCTCCTGGATGTCCAGCTCACCTCGGTCCTTCATGGGAGTGCTCATCCTTTCTGAGCAGCGCACTAGAGTTGCCGCTATAGCAAAGCAAAGCTCCCCATGAAGTGCCAAACGTCCGTTTTCTATTTGAAATCCATTTGTCCCATCATATGCTTAACAGATGCAAGGGCTGTTGGATGCAAGGGCTTGTAGACACAAGGCAAAGTATTCTGCCTTATCTATCAGACTTAAGATGAAAGGGCGCCCACCCCGCTCCCCTCTCGCAATGACTGTGCTGGGTATCAGTCCTTTCCCACTCTCTGCCTTTCCCTCGTGCACAGAGCTGTGCACACACATTTTTTCCATTTGGGAGATAGATGGACTCGCTTTCCTTTCTTGTAGAGGTCTCCCATAAAGCAATATTTCAAAGTGAAATTTTAAAACTTTCAAAAAGCCTGGTTTTTATATTTATAATGCTTATTCTTTCATAATGTGTGTGAGATTTCCTTTCAGCCCCTATAACTAACCCTTTTGGCCATCTGTCTGGTTTTCAGATTGCGCTGGAAATCCCATTCCAGCATTTAAATTGGTCATGTAGTAACAAAGCAAAGGGTGGAGGCGAACACTCCCAGGTTGGGCAGCAGGACAAGGAGAGAAAGAACCTGGGCTCCCACCCGATTGAATCGGAAAGGCAGAAGGACAGCAGTAGTTGTTCTTCTAGGCTGAATTTGGCATTTGCCTGCTGCTGAACTTTTAAATCCATTACTTAATTAAATACTGGCTCTGTTTTTATAATGCAAGACATACCTGCAGCAAGCCAGGTTCCAGGCTTAAAGAACTCTCTTGCCTAAATTTTATTCTGGGTACGGCAGCAAATCTGAGGTTGTTGTCACTTTAGTTCATATTTACAGCATTAGTTGAAACTTACAGCTGCAATTTAAGGATGAGCCTTTGGATTGAACACCAAACCACCAGTCCATTTCCTGCTTAATCTAGAATTTCTTACACTACCGTTCCTTTTATTCATGTTCTGGTTAATTGAGAATGCTGGCTGCATAAATAGTGCTATAGAATAATGTGAATCTGGATTCAGCCATTTATGGCAGCCCTGAATGTCCTTTATTAGCTGGAATGCCATTATACAAAGTCAACAAAGTTCCTCTTGTACGAAGGCTTTTTTAATTAAAAGTAAAGATGGAAATCAGAAAATGAGCATGTAAAAGAAACAGTTTCTTGCATCAGTTAGTACATATTCATTTTATCCCATTTGTCTTTGGGAATTGAGCCAATTCTTCCAGTCTCACTGAACCAAAATTAATTGTTCCTGCTTCACATAGTTAGTCATTTTTCCTACATTGGTGGCTCTCTAGGAAAAGCACAAGCAAGTGGTTATTTTCGCCATGAATGAAAGGTCGCTTCCATGTTAAAGAAGGCAATTTGTGAAGCAGAAGGTAGGCACTGGATAACTTGTGTTCTTCCTGCGCTGCCAGCATCCTGAGATGGCTACACCAGAAAATGAACAATCCTAATGGCATCCTTCAACATCATAAGCCACCCAGAGAGCCTATGGCTAATCAGGCAGCATATAAATCAAATAAATAAGCTACCTGCAGGATGGCCAGGCACATTTCCTGTACAGGTTCCTGTGAAATGAATGAAATAAGCAAGAGTACAATTGGGGCTTGTATAAAAGATGTTTCCAGTGGATTCTCAGTGATAATCTGACACTATTCTACTGCAAAAATATCTTCTGATTGCTAAGATGTTAGGATGCTACTCAGATTTTGTAAGTGCCAGCAACAAAAAAGACATTTGCTTTGGTAGTGTAGCTGACTTTTCTGAAACTGGAAAACTTTCTGATGCTCAAGAATGTGATGTAATTTGGCATGTTTGTTTTTCAAAGTAAGCTTCAAAACTAAAAAGCATTCAATGTTATATATACATATTTTTGTCCCAATATACCCACATGTATGTTTCCCTGAGGGAAACAGTTACATGAGATTTAAATGCTGCATTAGCTACTCATTTTTATCAGAATACTTGTAAAAATGTAAAGACAATAAACATTTAAATGTATTAAAAAGTGAAAGGACTTAAAACTGTTGATACTTGAGTTAAGTTTCCCCCGACCTGATGTCATCCAGAGATGCTGACTGCAACTTCCAGCATCCCCCGTTAGCATAGCTCATTGGAGATCCTGTAACTGAAGGGCATCATATTGGAGGAAGCTGCACTAATTAGTTTCACAACCCAGGAAGTTGTATATGATATGCTGACAATCATTCATCTATTCTAGTTCACTCAGGTTGATAGGGTACCTTCAGTTTCATTGTCAATATCAATTATCCAGGCCCAATTCAAACTACTGGTTTTAACCAATAAAGCGCTGAATGGCTTGGGACCAGGATACCAAAAGGAACACCTCTTCCCTTATATGCCCTCATGCCCCTAAAGATCTGCGGGAGAGGCTCTGCTCCAGGAACCCTCCCTGAAGGTGATAAAAAGAACATCTACCCAGAACAGGGCCTTCTCTGCGATGGCACCCAGATGGTGGAATGTGCTCCCCGGAGAGGTGCGCCTGGCGCTGAGTTTATATTTTCAGCGCCAGGTCAAAACCTTTTTATTTAATCGCCATTTAAAAAAAATTAGTGTTTTAATCATTTGAACAGTCGCTTTGATTTTGTCTTTTATATACACTTTTATTGAATTAAGTTATTTATAAATGTGATTTTATTGTATTTCAATTTTATGTATTGTGAGCCGTCCTGAGATGCCAAGACATAAGGCATACCCAAGTTGGTAGCAATCATATGCTGAAGAAAGCGTTCTCTTAAGCAATGCCATAAATGGTGTCCATTCTGGGCCTTTGTTTCTTCATGAATGCAGTGATATGATTTCTTTTAAAATTGCTTAGGGATTAACTTCAGTGAAAAGAAAGCTTAGTACAGATGCTGATTCTGAATTTCTTGAGCTGATTCCTGAAAAACCTGTGCAGTAATTGATAACAGGGTATCTAAATACAAAGCTTATAAAATGAGTGTTAAACTTGCCTATGGGAGAATAGATTATACTGCATGATTAAGGGTTTGGGAAGGTTTGTTTATTTCTAAGGTGAGTTGTTAAGAACATTTTGGTGCCAGAATCAACCACACAGTCAGGAACTCTTGGCTCTATGCACACGTTTTCTAAATAATGGTGGAGTTGGGACAGAATTGTTTACTCTCGCATTTACTGATGTGGTATTGAGATTTGTGTGTTCGTGCATGTGCCCTACAAGCACATTTTAAAATAAAATTGCAAACAGCATAACAGTGAGTGAACTTAAGATGTGTATTTGTCTTTGTCCAGTTTTTTTGCGAATGAAGACTGAAATCTCTCATAAGACCGTTGCAAGTAAGATTCCGTTTCCCTTTACAACTCTTGGGTGTCCTCTTCAAAATGTCCTCAGTTGCGGATTCAGAATCACTGGATTTGTGCCGACTACATACCTGGACTATGTTCTTTTCCACTGAAGACTGGCTATATTAGACTTGCTAAATTAAATCAGACATGAAAGAAGGAAAGGGGCTAATGAAGTATGAATAGTTCCTTGATCATAAGTGACTGAATCAGACGGCCTTGATATTTAATTTTGGACCTGGGGTTTGAGGAGATAGGAGCAATGAAAGGGAATTTAGCTGTTGGGCAGAAAAGTGGCAGCTACTCTGAGTATAAGAAAAACATAGCTGTGTAAGAAGAAAAACAACTGCCAGTTTTTTCAAATATTTTTTAAACTATCTCTTGAACACCTTTTTCTAGTATGTAAGGAATCATTGTGTTAGGGACACTGGTACGTTTGTATTCTAGTAATTATATTTGGAAGACTAGACCAAAGAACCATGACAAGTCCAAATCCTAAGCTCCAAAAACAATGACAGTTGTTTGATTCCATCACAGCTTTGTGTGAAGCTTTCCGAGGGACCGATTCCTTGAGTGGTGTTTGTTCCCTGCTATATGAGAAGGTCATGAGAATCACCAGTTGGAATTAAGATTGCTGGGAGAAATAACAACCTCAGATATGCAGATGATACCACTCTCATGGCAGAAAGTGAAGAGGAATTAAAGAGCCTCTGGTCATCAGGAGGTGTGGGCTGCGGAATCATCAATACGCTGATGATACCCAGCTTTACCTCTTGTTCTCCACTAATCCAGGTGAGGCAGTGGCTGTGCTGAACCGGTGCTTGGCCGAGGTAAGGGAATGGATGAGGGCCAATAAACTGAAACTCAACCCAGACAAGACGGAGGTCCTGTTGGTTGGCGGATCGGGTTTCGGAGAGGGTGGATTTGACCTGGTCCTGAATGGTGCAACACTCCCTCTTAGGGATAAAGTCCGCAGCTTAGGATTACTCCTCGACCCGGAGCTTTCTTTGGAAGCTCAGGTGACAGCGGTAGCAAGGAACGCCTTCCTTCAGCTTCGGCTGATTAATCAGCTGTGCCCCTACCTGGAGTACAACTGCCTGGCGATGGTGACACACGCGCTGGTGACTTCCCGCCTAGACTTCTGTAACGCACTTTACGTGGGGCTTCCCCTGAAGACAGTCCGAACACTTCAATTGGTGCAAAATAGAGCTGCCAGGTTGCTGACGGGGATGGGGCGTTATGCTCACATGACTCCAGTCCTCCGTCAGCTTCACTGGCTTCCCATTGAAGCCCGGGCCCAATTCAAGGTGTTGATTATGACCTACAAAGCCCTAAACGGCTTGGGTCCTGGCTACCTGAACGAGCGCTTACGTCCGTATATGCCCGACCGCCCTTTGAGATCTGCGGGAGAGTCCCTTCTCCGGGAACCCTCCATGAAAGAAATTAGGAGAGTAAGTACCCGGAGGAGGGCTTTCTCTGCGGTGGCGCCCAACCTATGGAATTCACTCCCCAAAGAGGTCCGCCTGGCACCGTCGTTACTGGTTTTTCGGCGCCAGGTAAAGACCTTTTTATTTAAACATCATTTCAATTGTTAAAACATATGATCTGGCCAGGGCAACTTCTTCTTCCTTCTCTTTCTCCTATATTTTTATTTTATACTGATAATTTTAATCTTATATTTGTAAATCAATGTATTTTTTGTATTTTTGTATTTAATGGTAATTTATTATGTACTATTGTATTTCAATGTATTTTATCATGTTGTAAGCCGCCCCGAGGTTTCGGCAAGGGGCGGCATAGAAATGTTATAATAATAATGATGATGATGATGATGATGATGATGATGATGATGATGATGTGGGTGAAGGAGGAGAGTGCAAAAGTTGGCTTGAAACTCAACATTAAGAAAATTAAGATCATGGCATTCGGTCCTATCAATTCCTGGCAAATAGATGTGGAAGAAATGGAGGTAGTGACAGATTTTATTTTCCTGGGCTCCAAGATCTCCACAGATGGGGACTGCAGTCAAGAAATTAAAAGACGCTTGCTCCTGGGAGGAAAGCTATGGCAAATCTAGACAGCATACTAAAAAGCAGAGACATCACCCTGCCAACAAAAGTGCGTATAGTTAAGGCTGTGGTTTTCCCAGTTGCAATGTATGGCTGTGAAAGCTGGAGCATAAGGAAGGCTGAGCGCAAAAGGATCGAGGCCTTTGAATTGTGGTGCTAGAGGAGACTCCTGCGAGTCCCTTGGACCACAAGGTGATCAAACCAGTCAGTCCTAGAGGAGATCAACCCTGACTGCTCTTTAGAAGGCCAGATGCTGAAGATGAAACTCAAATACTTTGGCCACCTAATGAGAAGGAAGGACTCCCTGGAGAAGTAATGCTGGGAACAAATGATGGCAAAAGAAGAAGGGGACGGCAGAGGATGAGGTGGCTAGATGGAGTCACTGAAGCAGTTGGTGTGAACTTGGGTGGACTCCAGGAACTGGTGGAGGACAGGAAGGCCTGGAGGAATGTTGTCCATGGGGTTGCGATGGGTCGGAAACTACTTCGCAACTAACAACAACAACAACAATATGAGAAGGGGGAGAGAGTGCCAGATCCAAGTAGCCCCAGCTTCTGTCCACAAGTGCGACAGTCCCCGGGGTGCCTGCTCATAACACTGTTGGGGGCCATGTTCTCAGTGTGGAACATTAACTTATTTTATTGAGGACTGAAATAATGTAAGCCGTCCAGAGACAACAGTGATGGATGGACTACAAATTTTCTAAATAAATAAATGTTCTAACCTAAGATGCATGGTTCA